GCTACCAGCACCGCACTCTCCCAAGTGAGCCACCGGGCCGGCCCATATTTCTTACAGTTCTAGAGGCTGGAAAGTCTGAGATCAGGGTACCAGCATAGTTGGGTTCTAGTGAGAGTCATCTTTTGGGTTGTAGACTGCCGATTTCTTATTGCATCCTCACACAGGGGAAAAAAAGCTAGCTGCTGCTCTGGCCTCTTCTTATAAGGGTACTAATCCCACTCATGAGGGTTGCACCCTCATAGTCTAATTCCCAGAGACCTCACCTCCACATACCATCATATTGGGAATTTGATTTCAACATATGAATTTTGGAGAGACACAAATATTTAGTTCATAATTTTAATCCCCTGGCTCCCCCAAATTCATGTTTTTCTCAGATGCAAAATACATTCATTCCATCTCAACAGCCTATGTCTTAACTTGTTACAGCACAAATTCTAAAGTCTATCTAAATACCAAGTCTTATCTAAATACCATCTGAACCAGTTACGGATGAAATTTGAAGTATGATTCATCCTGTGGCAAAATTCATCTCTAGTTGTAAAACCAAAAAAATTATGTGCTTTCAAGATACAATGGTGGGACAAGCATAGGATAGACATTTTTATTCCAAAAGGGAGAAACAGGGAAGAAGAAAAGGAAGATGGGTTACAAGGAGGCCCAAAAGCTAGCAAGTAAAACTCCATGAGAGCTTAAGGCTTGAGAATAATCCTCTTTGATTTCATACTCTTGTTTTCCATACCCACTGGGGTGAAAGTCCCACTCCTACAGCTCTCTTGCATGGGGGTCCTGCCCCCAGAGTTCTGCTGGGCAGGGGTTGAACCCCCAAAGCTTTGGGCAGCCTCATTCCATGGCTTTGGCCTGTAGAAAGTGAGGTGATGGCCCCCCTCCCCTGCCCTTTTGAAACTGAGGAGGCAGCCCTATTTATCTCTGAATCACCTTCAGGGTCACTCTTCCCTTGTCTTGAAGAATAGAGCACATTTGCAGCCAAGCATCTCTAGGGTCCTCTCCCATAAAATCAAAGAAGTTCAACATCGTTCTTTCATTCCTTCCCAACTCCTTAAAACTGATGATTTTCCTGCTGGGGTAGCTAATCAAGTCTGTGGTTCATACCCATACTAATTAATCTCCTTATCAAATGGTCACTTGACTACGCCTTTAGTGTTCTCCTATGAACATGCTTTTTCAATTTTTACAATATGAATAAACTGAGAATTTTCCAAATATTTAACTTCTAGTTCCTTTTTTTCTTAATAATTCCATCTTCAAGGCATTTTTTTCTTCTCACATTTTACTATCAGCAGTCAGGAGGAACCAAGCTGCTCTTTCAATACTTAGTAATCTCAGCTAAATATGCAATTTCATTTTTCACAAGTTCTACCTTTCTCAAAATACTAGAATATGAATACAATTCATCCAAATTCTTTGCCACTTTTAACAAGAATTTCTTTTCTCCACTGTCCAATAGCATGCTCCTCATTTCCATTTTACACCTCCTCAGAATGGCTTTTACTGTTCTCACCTCTACCAACATTCCGTACATGATTATTTATGTTTTTTTTTCCTAAGAAGATGGAAGCTTTCGCTACAGCTCTTCTCTTTCCTTTCTGAGCCCTCACCAGAATCACCTTTAAAAGTCCTTTCATGATAATCCCAGCTACCTCTCGCATGCACTTCAAAACTCTTCCAGTCTCTACCCATTAACCAGTTTCAAAGCTGCTTCCACATTTTTAGGTATTTGTTACAGCAGAACCTCACTCCTAGTACCAATTTGTACCTTAATCAATTTGGGTTGCCATACAAAGTACCATATACTGGATGTCTTGTATACAGCAGAAATTTCTTTCTTTTTTTTTTTTTTTTTTCCTTTTTGTCTTTTTTCGTGACCGGCAACGGATCGCAACCCTCAGTGTCGCGCCCGTACCGGACCGGGACCGGCAACGGGATCGCAACCCTTGGTGTTGCGCCCGCCCCTCGCTCAGCCAGTGAGCGGCCAGTCTGTATGTGGGATCTGAACCCTCGGCAGGAGCACTGCCACGCTCCCAAGCGGCGCACTGTAGCAGTGCGCCACCTGGCCGGCCCTCCAGCAGAAATTTCTCACAGTTATGGAGGCTGGAAGTCTGAGATGTACGTGCCAACATGTTTGGGTTCTGGTGAGGGCCCTCTTCTGGGGTACAGACTGCCAACTTCTTGTATCCTCACATGGTGGAAAGAGACTGAGCTAGTTCACTGGCCTCTTATAAGGCCATTAATTCCATTCCTGAGGACTCCATCTTCATTATTAAATTACCTCCCAAAGGCCCCATGCCTCCAAATATCATCACATTGGAAATTAGATTTCAGCATATGATATTTTGTGGGAGAACACAAATATTCTCCCTATAAAAGTTACCAAGGGGGATAAAACATGCTGCAGAGTAAAAAACCAAACCAAACTATAAAGAAACAAAAATTCTTGTATATTTGTTCATATGTGCTTATATGAGCATAGAACATACCAGATCCATAATATTTCTTATTTCAAGGGCTTAGGATAGTCAGGGTAATTTTGATTTATTACAAGAGCATATATTACTTTTGTAATTAAAATCCCAACCAAAAATATGCCAACAAAAACAAACCTCTGCAGCGAAAATAAATAAAGCTTATCCTCTGGTGGAAGAGACAGCTTGGTGGAGAGACAGTTCTTTCATTGCAGATTTAATTATTCCTAATGATTTAGCAATAAAGAGCACTTCCTGTTGCACCACACAAACTCTTCATCACAAGATAAGTTTGGATTTGCGATTAATCAGTGTCAATTGTCTCTCCTTGTATTACCTTAAGAGAGCCTTCTAAAATGAAAGGAATCCTATCCTCTTTTTCTTTTTCTTTTTCTTGTTCTGATATCTCTGTTTTGCTGTTTCCTTTGTTACCTATACCAGAGAAAATTAAAATTCTTAGTAACTCACTTAAATTAGGTATCATAGAAGAACCAAATCTCTGGGTTGGACGGGATCTCAAAAGCTATCAAGTTCAACTGCCCATTTATTCATCTCTAAACTCTTACCATCTCTAGAGTGAATATGTGAAGTGGGACCGAATCATTTCAATGATGGGGAATTCAGTCTCTGGAGACAGTGCATTCCATTCTCAATGTGTCAACATGTTGCAGCTTTTATTGAACTGGAATCTCTCTCCCTAAAGCTTTCACCTAATTAACTTTAGTTTAATACCTTAAGACCACACAGAACAAATATAACTTGTCCTTCGGTATTGAAGACAACCTTTTTGCCATTGTAGTCATTCTGTTTTGAAGGTTTACATCTTTCCTGAGTTGAGAAGCCTCAAACTGAATGCAGTAGCTACCAGATATATTCTACTCCAAATTAACCATTATCTGGATTTCCACAGACACCTCAATATTAAGCTTTTGTTCTATTCAGAAGCATTGTAAAGAAAAGGCAGTCAACTCACAACTTTTCCTGCTAATAGGCAAGGAAATGACCCTAGACACAGCTGTGAGAAGGCAGCCTTACCTCTCTTTTGGTATGATCCCATCCATTTTCTAGGTACTTCATGCTCTCCTTTTGGGTCCCCATCAGGAGGAAGACTGAGCTGATGGTTTATACAACCATTTTGGTGGATATGGTAAATTTTTTACCATCAACTTGTTTTTATAAGTTTTACTTTAGAATCTAGTAATGTCCAAACTCCTCTGGTAATTGATAGAGGTTGCAAAACTTTTGGAAATTATATAGCTTTGCTTCTTTATAAGAAATCACTCTTGACTTTGGCTATCATAAATAATAACAATTATTAAAACAGAATCCACTTCCTTTGTAAAAACTCAATGACATGTCTTTATTTTTCCAGAGGAATTACCTCACTTTTTCACTTCTTTTTAAAATCAAGTATCCTTCTAAAAATATATACTTTACTCTCTTTGTCACCCTCTTCTACCTTCCCTCCATAGCCTTAAAGCCATGGAAATAACAACAAAAACAAAGATATGCATTGATTCAAGATCTTGTCAAGTCCCTACCACAGGCCTCCATGAGCCCCTTTCCCTTTATCTCTAGATTCCTATGCCCACTTAGTCTTGGGGCTCTTCTGTTTGCTGTTCTATTGAAGGTCTTGTTTTAATCTCACTTTGGAATCTGTAATCATTCTAATGTAGAACTACTAACTCATATATTATAAACAAATCTTAGATAGCTTAACCAACCAATCATACCAACAAAGACATTTGGCATTTCCCTAACACATGACATTCGATCTGCACAACAGGATGAATCTTCCAGGAATCTGTAATCATTCTAATGTAGAACTACTAACTCATATATTATAAACAAATCTTAGATAGCTTAACCAACCAATCATACCAATAAAGACATTTGGCATTTCCCTAACACATGACATTCGATCTGCACAACAGGATGAATCTTCCAGATTTGACTGGAAGTGGGGTCAATAAAAGACAAATATCCTAGTATCCCATTGGTAACCTCATCATATTTGGAATTATAGAGAAAGTGAAGAGTCACAGGAATTTTGTGGGCAACTCGTTTTAATCTTCAGATAATCACAATCTTGACTAAATTAAGAAATAGGAGAATGTCTTTGGACTTTATTCTAAGCTTAAGTTGAACTGGTTGCTTACTTTTAGATTTTTTAATGGTAAAAATTTTGCTAGAAGAAGCAATTTTGGCACTAGCAGAAGATTTCAATTCCAGCTCAGCCTTGGTCTTAGTGATTTCTTCAGCCATTTTAGATTCCTGATATAGAGCTTCTTCTTTTGTGATCCAGTCTTGAATAGATGTTGCAACAAGTTCCAAATAATTCCTAAATAAAGCAAAGAAAGACTACTTGACAATTAAGCTACTACTAGTTTAAGCCAATAAATACTTAAGATATTGCCAGAACAAATGAACTTTTCAAAAATGAAGTGATCCTAAACTGGTCATGTAACAAATATAAAGAACTTAGGTATAACCTAGATGTATTTTGTGTCTCACCTCCTGTACTGCTATTATCCTGGTGTAAGCCACTGTCATCTCTTGCTAGGATTGCTGCAATAACTCCCAACTGGTCTCCCTGCTCCTACCCTTGGCCCCTGAAGTATATTCCCAACACAGCAACTAGGGTGACCCTTTTAATTCTTAAGTCAGATCATGCCTTTCTGCTGCTCAGAACCTTTCAAGAAATCTGCATTTCATATAAAAAGTAGAACTCTTACAAGAGACCTACAGTAAGGGAACACAGACTCATATACAGTCAAATCAGTATTCAAATGAAAGCACAAAATAAAGAATAAGCATGCAATGATTTAGAAATTTACCACCCACAGAATCTTTTGAAAGAATTACTCACAAATGTATTCCAGTTTCATTTTTAAAAATCAGAGAAAGACAACAATGGGTATAAGTAAAAGGGTGAAACAAAAGCAATAACATTTATAATTAAATATAAATAACTATGTTACTAATTTGTGATTAAAAACCATTATCTTACAATTGGAAACAAAATTTCTAGACAATTACAGACTAAGAGGTATGGGCTCACTGGGGGTCAGTCAAAGTATGTTAACATTTTCAACATTTTTTCCTGAAATGATATTAATACTCATTAATTCCAGATGTGATATAAAAATGTTTAAATATGTGATTTAAAAGGATAAATAAAACCTCTATAACAATATAAATAGAATACATAACACTTAAAAAATCATACACTATGAATGAACTAAGAAAACTGAATCTGGCAAAAGGAAGAAAAGTGATTAATAGAAACATATTTGTAAAATTAAATGGTAAAAATGAAGCCAAACACATTGCCAATAAAAATAAAAGTGAATGGACTAAATTCTTAAAAATTTAAAATATGTAAAATTATTATTAATAATTATTAAAATCCTTTAACAGACAGAGGATTTCAGAATGACTAAAACATTCAAACTACTATGTAAAAGAAATGTACACACAAAACAATGCAGAAAAATAAAAATTTGGCAGGTGGTTGACTAAGAAGCCAGAAGAAGCCTGGGTCTTTGGTGACTTTTGTGAGTAGCTGCACTATCTCTGAGATACTGCCCAAGTCCAGATTTCTTGCTATAGGAAGAAAATAATTCTCTTATTAGTTTAAGCAACTACTGTAGTCAATTTTTCCATTAATATAGTGAAATGCATTTTCTAAATGACATGTAAAATGATTAGGAAAGTTTTACCAGAAATTCTTGCATAAAGAGAGACTGCTCAACAATATTAACATCAAACATGGTTAAATTCAAGGTGAAATGCATTAAAGGGAACACAGAGGGACATTTTATCATATTTATAAAAGTTACAGTCCATTCAGAAAGATGTTTCTAAAAACACAGATTTAAAAGTGTATTTACACACACACACACACACACACACACTGCATGTAGACCTAATAGAAAGGAGAATATAAAAATCCATAATCATAGAGACATTAATACACCCATCTACACACACTGCATCTAGACCTAATAGAAAGGAGAATATAAAAATCCATAATCATAGAGACATTAATACACCCATCTCAGAATGGACATTTATTATAAGAATACTCTGTTTAATTTTATGCCAATAGACTGGAAAATTTAGATGTCATGCATGTTTCCCTAGAAAAAATAGAAGTTACCACAAATCATTGAAGAATTAGAAAACCTGAATAGAGGATTAACTTTAGAAGAATGAAAAGGTGTAGACAGTTGGTTCCTCAGCCCTCTCTCTTTGGGCCATGTCACCTAGCCCCTAGGAAGCCACTAGCTCCAAGTGGCTTTCCATGTAAAATGTATCTGTCTCAAAATAGATAATGTAAATTATTGTATGTATGAATAAAGGGTTATCAACAGGCCTGGACTTACTTTGTAAAGGAATAGCAACAGGGCCTTGGAATGACCTTGTAGAACAACTTCTGACAGTATTGATTGTTTTCTGGAAACTACAGCGTTAAGATAAACGTGAAATGTGTTGCCTGCCCTGTGTTCTGCGAAACCCCAGATCTGTGGGCTTGAAGATGAGGGTTGGCATACAGGTCTTGATGGAAAACTGAAGTTGTGGCCTCCCAGTGTGAAAGGAACCCACACAGTACCTTGGTGCTCATCTTCGGCACCTGTACACAATCAGTGTGGGGGAAGAAAGCAAAAGAAGCTATGCACTGAGGGAACTCCTGACAAGAAGAAGACACCGGTCATGCACTATTTCCTGCCCTGTATTCTTTTATAAAGCTAAACAAACATAGAATTGGATTAAAGCCTAGTGCATTGTGTGAGTCTGGTTGGTAATTTGTAGCCGTAACCACTCTGTGCTGAAACATCAGGTCATAAAAACATACATAATTGACAATTTATTTCATGAGGCTACCATAACACAGATAACATCTAAGTTATACATTTTACACATTTGGGAGAATATTATAAAAATAACTGAGAACTAAGTTATGGAACACATATAAAATATGATTACCTTATAAAATAGATTACTGAGAGATGAAATTTTATAGATATAAATAATTTCTCTATTTTAATGTTAAGAAATCTAGATAATAAATCAATATGCTGGGTTTTATTACTTATTTTGTAATAATTCAAAGCAAAGGGTCATTAAAAGTTTTATTTATGAAGTGAGGAATGGAAAAAAATGTGGTTTTTCTTTGGTGAAAATGTACCCTAAGGTTGGCTTTTCTAGGTACTCTACAGTTTTTGTTTCTATTGTTGAATGTATCTTTTTCTTTTATTTTTAGGAATTTTGTTTACTTTTTACTTGAAACTTACTGTATTTTCCTTTTGTAAACATTACATTTCTAACAATTTTTATATAACAATTATATATTATTATATAATATATATGTTAAACATATGTTAACATAATTATATATGTTAAAATTATATAACCATATAATTAAAAATATGATCTCAAGACAATTTCTCCCATTATTTTATAATTTTTCTATAGATTGTTTTGGAATTTCCCTATGTAGATAATCACCTTAACTCTCAGTAATAACACTTTTGCTTCTTTTTCAATTCTTATACTTTTATTAATTTATTATGCTGGTTTAGACTTTCATTAAATGTTGCTTAGGATAGGGGATAGTGGTCATCTCTGCCTTGTTTCTGATTTTACAGGGCATGCTTCCAACATTTCCCATTAAGAATAATGTTTACCTCTTAGCAGCTCCAAAAGCATCCAAAAGACAATGAGATAATTTTCTTCAAGGTGCTGAAAAGAATTTAACTGTCAATCAAAAACTATACACTGAGCAAAATTGTCTCTCATGAACAAGGTTAAGATGCAGACATTTTCAATAAACAAAACTGGTTTTATCATCAAAGATCTCCCCTACAGGAATTTCTAAAGTTCTTTCTTCAGGAAGAAGGGGAAATATAATGGTAAATGTGTTGATTTATACAAACATTGGCTGTAAAAACAAACAAAATAAATTGTTTAATTTGTGAGGTAAAAACATCAAGATAGAACTGAAGTCATAGACTATGATAATAAAAAATATGGAATGAGGATATATGAAATTAAAGCATTCTGTTGTGCTTGGATTACTTGGGTGGAAGGTAAAGACAGTAACTTTAGACTTTGTTAATTTAAAAATGCATAACAATGGCCAGCCCGGTGGCGTACTGCTACAGTGCGCTGCTTGGGAAGCGTGGCGGCGCTCCCGCCGAGGGTTCGGATCCCACATACAGACCAGCCGCTCACTGGCTGAGTGAGGAGCGGGGGCAACACCGAGGTTTGCGATCCCGTTGCCGGTCACAAAAAAAGACAAAAAGACAAAAAAAAAAAAAAAAAGCATAACAATTGTCTATATTTGGTTTTGCTGCTGGTGCTTTTGGTCACAAACCCAAGAAATCATTGTCAAGGCCAGTGTCAAGGTTTTATGTTTAAGTCTTTAATCCATTTTGAGTTGATTTTTTGTGCATGTAAGATAGACATCCAATTTCATTTTTTTTACATAATGTTTTTGACAAATAAAAATTGTATATATATATTTCAATTTTATTTTTATTTACTTTTGTGGCATACAGTGAGTTCTTTCAACACATGCATATACTGCACCATGAATCACTTAGGAGTAGACAGCATAAATATGTTAATGCACCCCTTCTCCTCTCCCCCACCTCCCTCCCCTCCCAGTCTCTGGTAACCATTATTCCACTTTCTACTTCTATGAGAGCCACTTTTTTTTTTTTTTTAAGATTCCACATATGAGTGAGACCACAAGGTGTTTTGTCTTTCTGTGCCTGACTTACCTCACTTAGCATGATGGTTACCAGTACTATCTGTGTTACTGCAAAGGATAGGATAACATTTATTTTTATACTTGAATAGTATTCCATTGCGCATATGTACCGCAGATCATTTTTATTCATTCATCCATTGATGGGCATTTAGGTTGATTCCATCTCTTGGCTATCGTGAATAGCATTGCTATGAACATGGGAGTGCAGGTGTCTTCTTGATATGTTGATTTTATTTTATTTGGGTGTATACCCAGTAGTGGGATAGCTGGATTGTAAGATAGATCTACTTTTAGTAGTCTGAGAAACCTCCAAAGTGTTTTCCACAATGGTTGTACCAATTTACATTGCCAACAACAATGCAGGAGGGTTCCCTTTTCTCCGTATCCTTGTCAGCATTTGTTATTTTCTGTCTTGTTGATAGCTATTCTAAGTGTGGTGAGATGGTATTTCATTGTGGTTTTAATTTGCATTTGTCTGATTACTGAGTTTGAGCATTTTTTCATGTGCTTGTTGGCCATTTGTATGCCTTCTCTGGAGAGATGTCTTTTCAGGTCCTTTGCCC